TCTTTCTCCTTGTCTTTCTTCCGTATCATTGTGTCCCCATGACTTTTTATATATTCAGCGTGTGTTAATCACTTGAGCTAATTCTTCGTTCAGATTGTCTTATCTCTGCTCAGTGGATTAGCTCATTTTCTGATGCTAACAACACGCTGACACTGGCTGAGTAAACTCCCCAGGAAGGAGGTCTGCTTTGGGTCAGCTTTCTAGTCGGTGCTGGAGAGGCTGCGCTGAGTGACGGCCTTGGTGCCGGAGTCCTGAGGCAGCACAGGGCCTCACATGGTGAGATGAGGAGCGCAAGGGAGGCCTCGGAAGCCAGGCTTTCATAGCAGACCGACTCCTGAGTTAGCCCATTCACCACCGGGCTGCTCATGTACCAGTCACGCGGAGAGATGACTTCACTCTTGAAGGCGCAGACCTCTTCCCCTGCTGTAGGCCCCACCTTACCGGCCTCGTACTGTGTCACAGTGAGCATTACGTTTCAGCACGAGTTATGCAGGCCACGTACCATATTCACACCGTGGAATCAGTGTGGCTCTGACACAATGCTGTTAGCTCTCAGTGAAATCAGATTGTCTGTTACAGCAGACCTTAGCTTCAAATTTCACAGCTGCTGCCTCGTCCTTGGTCAGCCATTCCTGCAAGCAGCAGTGGTGAATTTGGGATGATAATGTGAGACAGTGGCTGTGGCTGCCACATCGTCTTTGCTTCTAGACACTTTTAGTACACAGCAAGCACGTTGTTTTAAAGTGAGCGAATCACGAACTTACAGTAAGACTTGTCAGTGTCACACGGTGGACACGCCGGGCCGGGTAATTCTTGGCTGTCGGAGCTGCCCCACGCACTGCAGGACGGTTGGTGTCATTCCCGGCTTCTCCTCGGTACCTTTCCCCCTCCCAGGTACTGCGAAGGTTCTGAAAGGTGGTGGGGAGGGGCACAAGGTTGCCTCCCGTTGGTGATTTCCAGCTTATATTTATATTTCTAATAAGATTAAACTAATTACATAACTGTTTTTCCATATATATGTTATTTTTTCTAAATATTCACACCAGAACAACTTGTACAAGTAAAGCTGTAGGCTAGTTCCAACTTCCTAGGCTTGAAATCCTAGGATAGCCCCATAATGTTTAATCAAAAGACCACTTTCTTGTCAGTAAGCAGAATACTTGGGCCAGTATTATACCAAAATTCCAAATTTTCATCAAATTTCAAATCTATCCTTTGCCCCAGTTCAGCACAGCCTGCACAGGGCTTGAGACCAGGAGAAGAATGTGCAAGATCAGCTTCTTGGTTTATTCCGGCCACTGGCAGCTCTCTGTGACCCTTCCAGGGCCAGGTGTGGGGAGGAGGGTGGGGTTCAGGTGTACGCAGCAGGTGGATGTGCTCCTCACTGGACTTCTGTTCGGGGATGACTATAGCTATGCTTCCTTCAGTGGGGTATTGTGAAGGGATTTATGAGGGGATTTCTCTGGGAAGCTCCAACTCTAACCTTGTAGTGCAGGAGATGCCTCTAATCTTTGGCCATGTCTGTTCGTACCCCTTAATGATTGGCCCTGTTCAGATTTTGTAGAATCACAGTGCTCTCCAGGGGTTACCCTTTCAGTTGAATGATTTAAAAGTAAAAGAAACTTTTTATTGACAAATATATTCAGAAAACACTCAAACCTATAGAGTTTATCACTAAGTAAATGAAACCATACTGTTCACACCAGATCAGAAAACTTTAAATCGTTAGGATTTGGTCAGTTCCATTTTGCCCCTTCCAAATGTTTCTTGAAAGTAAGCACTAGCCCAGCTTTGAACATCATCAGTTGGTTTTGATTTTTTGGGAACTTTGTATTAATGGGATTAGATGGAGGTTTTCTGTATGTACTTATTTTCCACAGCACTGTACATAGCACCAGCTCGTGCTGTCTGAGCCTGCGAGGAGCCGTACTGTGCTGACTCTGCATTTTATCCTTCTGCCTGTGGAACCTTCAGATTCATTTCTCCTGGCATTTTCCTACATAGTTCCACCTTCCTTTCAAAAAGCCGTGAAAAATTGCAGTGTTTCTTAAATTGTGACCGTTCTCAAATAAGCACTTTTCCAGTGAAATGTGCTCATTTATGCTCTTCTTAAGAGTGAGTGGGATATGGGGTTTTTGTTTTTTAGGTAAGACTCTTTCTAGTTTATAATAAAACACTTTCATTTCAATTAAAATGGATTTTTGTCATGTGTCTAAAATTTTATGTCATTTGGCATTAGGCAGTTAATTTATCAAATCACATTTTAATCTTGCTTTTGTTTTCATGGTATAAGATGTTTTATTTTGTTTGTTTTCTCTGTGTCGTTCAGGCTCACCTTGAACTTGCTATGTAGCCCAGGCTGATTTTGAACTTTTGGCAACCCTCCTGCTGCAGCTTTCTGAGTTCTGGAATTACAAGTGTGCACCACCACACCAGGCTACATGATATAATCTTTTTAACCATGGCAACATTTTGAAGCTAAATATGGAGAGCAAGTAGAAATGATAGATAGACAGATAGAGAGATAGAGAGATAGAGATAGATAGATAAAATTACTCAATAGTCCCATTTTCTTGTTCATTAAATATAAATAATGAAAACCTCTCTGCAAACAGTGTGTCAAATAGAAACTTGTTATATTCTGTATGTAACCTATTACTATAAAAATGCAAGAAATTTGGTAAAGAAAAGATATTCTATAATTGTAAAATTTTCAAAGGGGATAAAAAATCTGGAGCAAGTCATGACAACAAGTGAAATACTATAGAGGTCTTATATTGTTGAGTATAACTATAAATGAAATAAATTTAATTATGTATACATTTATCGAACAAATATTTATCAAGCTCTCAAATGCAAAAGTTAAAGAATCAAAAGACCTAATTTCTATCCTCACAGAAATTAGCAGAGATAGACACACAGTATTTATAATAGGGATATATCGAATACGCAGTTGGTACACAGACAAAAATGCCTGAGCCTTTTTGGGAGTGGTCAGGTTAGACCAAATGGGGGCAACTCAGCCAAAACTTGAAAGATGAGTAAAATTTTGAAAAGCAGATAGATTGACAGAAGAGGACAGTCATAGAGGCATGAAAAAACTGGGAGCAATCCAAGAATGCTAGTGAAGTACAAAGAACATACAAGAGAGCACACAATTAAAAGGAGTAGACATAATAGTACTCACCTCCTTCCTGTCCCACCCTAAAAGAGGTAATAAGCTCCTCAAGGAGAGAAACATGGTGCCTGTGACAGAGTGCAAGGGATAGTTCCTCGGGTTTCCATGGTGGAGATGATACAAATGCTGTAGTCAAGAGCTAGACGGAGTCTTCTATTTTAGTGAACTCTTCCCTTATTTATCATTATGATTCCTATTTGGAGTAGCTTGTAGTTTATCAGTGTTCCTGGGTGTCTTACAACTTCCGGGAGTGAAGAGGTGGGCAGATGGCGAGGATGTTGGGAGGCGGAACACTCTGCCTGGTTTACCAGAGGGATGGTGGGGTTGTGTCCCGATGATGTTACATTAGACTGAGAAGAAGCAACAGAGCACCGCTTGGGACATAATGATCAGGAGTGAGCAAGTGCACCTGGATGTGGATTTCTTTTTCAAAATCAGTGTAAAAACAGATCTGTTACCTGAAGAAAAGCAGTAACAATTGATCGCACTGCATTTTTAACCCCAAAGTTTAACAGTTTAATATTCCAGCGTGTGCGCTTGTACCTGAGCTGTCTTCACCAGGCAGATGAGTAAACATCGAGCCAGGTACTGATGGCATGAGAGGAGTAGTCCTCTCTATGTCCCTGGCCTTCTTGGTGGCTCTGAGTCCTGGCTGGGTGTTGTGATACAGAGGCAGAGCCCCTTGAAAAATTATCTTGCTCAGTCTTTGTTGGAACTGCCTACTGCAGTATTTCTTGGGCCAAAATAATTGCACATAGAAAATCAACCTCCAGCTGTAGCCCTCAGATTGTGCTTGCAGGGTGATGTGTCCACTTTGCAGCTTTAATGGCCCAACACTTAGTTGAAAAATGACCATAACTTAAAGTGGGCTAAACCCGCACAGTTCTTACAGACATTCCGGTCTGTTAAGAGCTGTCCCCGGTGCCTGAGGTAGGCCAACCCCTCAAGGTAGTGACTTCAAATCATAGCTCAAGGTTATCTGCAGTTTCCTCCTCCTCAAACTGTAAATGTTGGACTGCTCAGCTCTTTTTCTTTTTAAGACATACAAGAATCACATTCTACTTGGTAACAAAGTTGACTCATTCATATATGTGGAAATGTGTAAATGTGAAAGGTGATTGAAACATAGGTGAATGTTTAAATGTTTTAAAGAACTATTACGGTAGAAGACGCACTGCCGTTGATCTCCCTCAAAATACTTCCTCTTACTTTGCCCGCACTTGCCAGTTTCTGAAGCAGTTTTGGAAGACCCATCACAAGGGTCTCTGGTAGGTGTGATTAAAAAGTACAGTGAACCCTGCTGCTGAGGGCCGTCTGTTGGGAAGGCAGGCGTGTGGAATCGCTGTGCGGTGTCCTCATCCGTGTTCTTGTCTACGTCTGACACTCTGAGACTTCCCGGTCTTCCGGAAAGTCAAAATGACCGTGAAAGGTAAACGCTGGGAATTGATTCAGGACCCCAAGGCAGCCAGGAGGAGAAACTAAAGACACAAGCAGGGACTTCCAGACCTTCTTCAGAAGGTGGTGACAGTGCTGGGTGAGTGTGTCCAAGGAGAGGGGCAGTATTTTGAGGTGCATGAGTGGCGGTGCGTCTTGGGGTATTTCTGACCACACCTCATAAATGTTTAACTTTTTGATATTTATCACCTAAGGCACAGGTAAAGCACTGAGCAAGTTTACAGCCTCATAACGTTCAGTGGTGCCTGGCAAGAGGCTGGCTGAGAGTCCCGCTCTGGCCAACGTGCGTCTATTCCCGGTTCGGTTGTCACTGCGTATCAAGCAGTCTCTAGATGGTGTCAATAATTTTTACTTTTTAACTTTTTAGGGCAGCATAACTATCTGTGTGCTGGAAGAAACGACTGCATTGTTGATAAAATCCGCAGAAAAAATTGCCCAGCATGTCGCCTTAGAAAGTGCTGTCAGGCTGGCATGGTCCTCGGAGGTAATTTTAATATTTTCCTTGATAATATATTGTCTTATATTTGTACTATATCACTGTGGGTCAGAAAATCCTAATTTTCTTGTCTTTATTATTTTCTTCTTTTGGTCTGTTTGAGACAGGGTCTTGCTGTGCAGTTCAGGCTGGCCTTGAGCTCACTTTGTAGCCCAGGCTGGTCTCGAACTTGCAACGATCCTCTTGCCTCAGCCTCCTGAGTGCTGGGATTACAGGTGTGCCTAATTTTCTTTTTCATCTCATTTTTTGCTTGTTTTTTTCCTGTCTTTATTGTTGGTAGTGACTTTACACTTGAATATCTGAATGAAGCAACCAATGTTATCCTATTACTTTTATAGACTTCCAGTATATTGAGACCTGTTACCAGAAGTAAAAAAATTAAATTCGTCAAGTAGATGTTATGGGTCATCTTAGTGACTGGACATTAACTAATGTAGGTTGGTTCTAGCCCCTGTCACTCACTGCTTGTGTGACCGTGAATAAGGCACCAACGTTTTCTGGGCATCAGTTTTCCTACATATAAAATGAAAACACTGAAGTCCTTTCCAGCTCAAAAATTGACTGTATAATTCTGCCAAGTTTATTGTTTTCCAGTTCTTGAAGTAACTGTTAAAGTAAGGTCATGGCAATGGGGTAAGAGTCTGCTGAAACACAGTTGCATTAGTGATTTCCTTTTCCCACATTGGTGTCATTACAAGAATCTCTGAGCCAGGCGTGGTGGTGCATGCCTGTAATCCCAGCACTCGGGAGGCTGAGGCAGGAGGATCGTTGGGAGTTCGAGACCAGCCTTGGCTACAAAGTGAGCTCAAGGCCAGCCTGAACTGCATAGCGAGGCCCTGTCTCAAAAAAAAGAATCTCTGAAGCTTTTAAAAATATAGTAGATGCTGAAAAAATTAAAGTCAGATTTTTGATAAATGGCTTAAATGAAAATAAAACAGCAGGAGAAGTCAAAAGAGCCAGGATGGTAGAAGACAATCCTATTTCCTAACTTGATGTTTTTACTTAGCTGCATCCTGCCCAAGGCTGCCTGGAATCGTGGACCTTATTTCTAGTTACAACTTTTCAAAAACATAATAAAATATGTCCGTAATTGTTGAAACTGAACATGTTTTTACTTCAGAGCACATCTGAAAATGGCTTGTTTTCCATCAATGTTATGCATCTTTTCCTTGGGGAAATGTTATATTTAGACTAGTATTTGTCAAGTTTAAAGCCTACCTAAATGTTACTTCCTCCCTAAAGATTTTTGGCCAACATGCTTGGATAAAATTGATCATCTAGTCAACTTGCTGAGCACTTCATAGTAACTTACTTAATTAGATCACTTGCAGTATTTTGTAAGTTCTTGATTGGAGATTTGTCTTCTCTCAGTTAAGGGAAGCACCTGAGTCTGCAGTGTATCCACAGATACACTGGCTTCATACCTGGCTTCAGCAGGTGCTCAGTAAATACTTACCAAATGAATGTGTCCCCTCTCAAGAGACTAAAAGTATTTACACCTCAGCTTCCTCTTCTTTGAATTTCAGGTTTAATTTCAGTAACTGCTGAACTTTAGCAATTAGGGCTTTCTTACAAATCCTCCGTGAAGTTTGGGAGGTAGGAGAACGCTCTGGCGGTACCCGGGCCCCTGGTGCAGTCACTGTGTCTTCTGCCCATGCTTGCTTTGGAAAGTGGCAGGCTCGCTAATGCCGCCCCCTAGATTCCATCAGGATCTCCAGTCTTGAGGTCCTCCCAAGTGGATTTAAAAAAAGACCCTCCAACTTTATCAAGGAACGGAAATGGCGGAGGTCTGGGAGAACCTTAGACTGTTCCCGGGGTCAGCAGTGCAGCCATAACGTTCGTGTCTGCTCATCACCTCGCAGCTACTCTCTCTCAGCCATTCTCCCCTGCCGCTGGTCCTTTGCAAACCCTGCGCCCTGTGTCAGTTGCTGCTCCCTGGCCTTGCAAGTGTTTTACCTCTGCCTGCCCCAGACTCCTTTTATGCGCCATGAGCTCTGACTTACCCTTCATGATAAGTTCAAATGTGGTCATCTTTATGAAACCTTCGCAGCTTTCCCATCAGAGCAGGGGCAGGGGGCTGTAGGGCCCAGCCAATACGGTGTTCTCATGTACGTGGAGCCTGAAGGCCTTGAGCAGCTTGGGTGGGAGCTTGCCCCGACGGCTGATTTCGGCATTCTCACTCGCACACGGAAGAATGGCCGCATAGACAGTCTGTTCTGTGTGTAACCCTGCACCACGACCACTCTCTCTGAAATGCATCCACTTTGACACCTGGTAGAATGAGGCTCCCTGAATTACACCTTCTCAAAAGGTAGAGTTTTCTTGGCCATTGGAATCATTCTTTTAAAAATTGTTGAAGTTTTATACATAGTGGTCTCCAAAATGTAAAGCCAATCATGACTTCTTAACCCCAGGGACAATTAACTATGAGTTTTCTTGTCTTTTTTTTTTTTTTTTTTTTTGCCTTTTCTTAGTTCATCTTGCCCAACAACATCCTGAATTAGCACTAACTAAAATTATTCAAATTAGTTTGTCTCCCTCGTATGGCATATTGTCATTCGAGATAAGATAAAGTCTCATAATGTAAGATGGCTTATGAGGACAAATATATCATGCAAAATCTTTTGTTTTTTGAAGGAGAATTCTGGAATTTTAAAAAAGCCTTTCTGTATTTCAAGTTTATATTATACAAAGATTCATTCAAATCTCATGGTTTCCTGTAGTCAGCGTCACAAACTAGAAATATAACAATGGCACACTTGACCGCCTCACAAGTGGGTTTGCTTGGAGGGTTATCAGGAAGAAGTGGGCACCATCCAGTGATACGCTGTAGTTCTGACATTGCTCTGCCTGAGAGAGTCCGCAGGAGATGCGTAGGGAATAGGTCATCCAGCTTGTGCAAGCCAGAGAAAAGGGAGTCAGTTCACTGGATTAGGTTCAAATTGCTAGGACCACATTAAATGTCTGGAGTTGAAGAGAAACACACTTGTGGTCTGACAAAAGTCGGAGTCCTCTTTGCAGTGATAATCTGGGGTTGAGGCTTCCATAATGCGGAGGGGATTATCCTGGAATAATGGCCTGTGTACTGCTGAAAATGGAGCTCACATCCTATTCTTTCTTCCCCTTTCCCTTCCTCCTCTTTCCTCTTTCATTCATTCATGTCTGTGACTCCTTCCTGAGGATTCTCACTCCTTCCTGAGGATTCTCACTCCTTCCTGAGGATTCTCACTCCTTCCTGAGGATTCTCACTCCTTCCTGAGGATTCTCACTCCTGACCTACAAACCATGCGAATAAAGATGAAGCATGAGAGAACGCTGGAAACTTTTAAAAAGACTTCGTAAAATTCCATGGCAGAATATCAAAACTCAAAAAATATGGTTTTGACATGTCATGACATAGATTTTGTTAATGGGCAGTTTGTACTATCTACTTCAGCGGCTGTGTTCTTGCTGTAAGAATTATATTTAAATTATTTGGTTATTTCATTGCATATGATTCTTGCTTTCAATGAGTCACTCCCCTTACAGGTCAGAGTGAACTTTTGCATCTAGTTCATTGCTGTATAATACTGAATAGAAAGACAGTTACACCCTTAGCCATGGTAATATATCTTCTAATTTAGGTGTCCTGCTTGTAGCTTCTTTTCTTTAGAACAGATTTTTGCTTAATGACTCACACGTGTGCACACGCACGCACACACACACACACACACACACAAATTTCAAAATGAATAGAGCTTTGTATTTTGCATTTGTGATAAAGAACGCTAAACTATTACAAAGGGAAACAGTTCTTTCAAAATTAAATAACTTTTCCACATAAAGGAATGATTAAATGAGTAGTTAGGTTTGCTTGAAGATATTTCAAGCCAAAAAGTAGTCTATGGATTTTTTTTAGAAGGCCTTCTTAAATTTTTAGAAAATTGTTTTTAGAAAGTTGATTCCACCTTATTTCTCTTCGCAAGAATAATTAACTTCCTAGGGTATAGTAAAGTTTTTCTGTTCTGGTATTCTCTTTCTACCCTTCACAGCCAGCAGAACATCGATACTTTTTCTGAAGGATTCCAGAATTTTGAACTTAGGAAACAATACCTATTTTGTGCCCTTAATTAGCATTGAAAACTAAAGCTATGTGCTATCTTCTTAAGGCGAAAATTGCCAAGGATGATGGCTGCCACCTGCCTCTTTAGATCTCGCATTTTCTTCCTCTTCCAGGGATCTCCTTTTCTCTCAAAGCCCTGGATTTTGACCCGGCACTTTTCAAAGACAATACCTCTGACGTCACTAGCAGAGCACTGCATTAAAGCCTGCAAGCACAGTATGTTTTCTGGTCTCTCGGTGTTCACTGGAACACCTTCTCACACACACCAGCCCAGGGGAAGTACTTAGATTTGCATTCTTCTTTCTCTTTACAGTTTCTGTGTTTACACTGAACTGTTTTCAGGGCTACCTGCTAGAGGATTCCAGTCCTATCTACCAGTGTCTGCTATTTTCTAGGCCCAGTAAAAAGTGAAGGTTGAGAGTGCCATCTATCTCCTTTTATAGTTAAGTTAGAAAGATTGACATGGATTCATACTTTTTAAAAAATCAATTCTAGTATGGGTTTTTTTGGCAAATAGTTACTTTTCCTGTATATTTGCTGTTATCTAGCATCCTTTCGTTTTTTCTTGTTGTTTATTTGAAGTGTGTGTTCATCGCCTGCTGATCCTTATCCTTTGTCTCCTTACCCTTGTCACACAGAGCTCCTGGCTGCCATCACACTTCCATTTTAATACCCAACATAATACTCTTGCTTTCCTGCCGCACAACAAATTGAGCCTTTCACCTTTGTATCATTCATTCAGGATAAAGTGTTTTGCCAGAAATGAAGTGAAATAGCAAAGGAGAGGGGACAGCAAGATAAATAGCACTCGTTTCAGAACAAGATCCAGGCTTAGCAGTCATTTCTTTATTGAGTCTATTCCCCATATTTAAGTCTGAGAAGGATC